GGGTGTGGTCAAGGGTCTTCTGCTTCTTGCACTTCTTCTCCTCCTTTCCTGGCTTGGATGCTGCTGGCCTTTTCATCTTTTTTGCTGAATTTAGCCTCTGCTGCTGAGACTTTCCACCCTTGGTAAGAGGTGGCACCTCTGCTGCCTTTTTCAAAAGATCATCATCTCCAGGTAATTTCTCCAAGCTGCAGACAAAGGGGTCTCCAGGACTGGGCGTGTCCTCTTTCTTCTTCTGGGTCAACTTCTTCGTTGGAGTTGTTGCGTCACTCGGCTTCTTGCTCAAGATCCTGTCAAAAACACTTTCAGGCTTCTCTCCAAAGATTCTCAACTTCACATCCTCTCCGATCTCCACCTCACTGTTCCTATTTGGCCCTGACGCCAAAGCATTGCCACCTGAGGCGCCCAAATCATCCCTTGAGCTCCCTGCCCTCGAAAAACTCGGTCTACCTTGCCCTTGGTCACCTCCACGGGCATCGCCATCGTAGGGGACCATGTCCGTACAGGATTCTTGCGGGCCAAAGTCGATTTTCACCAGCAACTTTTCCAACGTTTCTTGCATCGCTGGACTGCATTTTCGGTACGTCGTATCCTTTTTCTGAACCACTTGGCACATCTGGCGCAAATGGCTTAAAGCCATGCGGATGGTGTCGTCCACGTAGTCCACGGCATCTTGAGTGGACTTGCGACCTCCAAGTATGTCATGCTGATGATGAAGCTTCTCAAGGGCTAACTTGTGCTTTTTGCCACTGATGATGGTGTTCTTTGAGATGTTGATGTAGTCCGTCAAGAGCTCCTGGTGTTTGCAGAGCCACTCAACGGGAACAGCACTTTTCCAAGAAACACCAGACGGCGGCTGGATGTACTTTGCGAGGTTGATCCCTTTCTCTCGTTGCAGCAGATTTTCTACTGGCTGCATCAGGTCTGCTACCCCCACCAAGGGATCTGCGACTAAACGTTTCGGAGTCTGCGACAGCATCTTGTCTATACACCATAGCTTGGACCAATGGTCTGTGAAAAAGATGTATATCTTTCAAATGTCGTTCAGCAAATAGCTCTGTTTGATCACACCTATATCGATGTTTGATCACACCTATATACAAAATGATCCCTCACCAGAAACTCGTTTCAAAGCGACTCTCAAAGTGCAAAAGCAAATTAACTCTCACAGTACAAACTCTCAGAGTACGCAAGCAACTGACACAAGTTTCTTTCTCCAAAAACACCGTTGGTGGGATTCCATTTAGAAGAACATTATTTCAAAAATACATGTAAAAGTATCGTTTCATGTGTACTTGAATTCCTTGTTGGTTTCACAACTGGATGGTATCATTTCCTGAAAACCCTGAAGCTTGGCATCATCTCCGGTTTCATTTTCACCATGGCATCGCATCACAAGTCTTTCCATTTGGACATGGTCACGACTCTAGAGTTTTCCAAAGCTATGACTATATGAAGTCAAAACGGCCATGTTCTTGTTGCTGGCCACCTCATTTTTAGAGTCCTCGGCATACTCTTTCATAATATTGTCTTTCACTGCCTTGGGGTAGTCGTTCAAGAAGACATCGAAAGTGTCAACTGGCACGCCAAAAGATTCATTCCACTGCACGTAGTCGTGGTACTCCACAGTAGCTTCCCACAAGCTTCTTGGGTATGGGACGCCTGCGCTGTCCACACTGTACTGCACAGTATTCTCATCCATGTTGTCATTCTTCTTGTTGACCTTCTTCGTATGGTCCTGCTTTCGGCCCTTGGACTCTCCTTTGGCGGTTCCAGGAGGCCATGGCATCAAGGGATGCTTCAAAGCAGTAGGGCCCTTGGGGTTGTCCTCATACACAGCCTTGAAGCTTTTTGGTTTCTTCTTCACAAACTTCATGTCATCTTTCACCCACACCATTGCGGGAAGCGAGGTGGGAGGCAAACAAATCTACCCTCTGTCTATGTGGGTATATTGAAAATGGAAAATGCTTCCGGTAAAAATGCTAAGTCATGCAGTGCATTTAGAACAATTTTCATGAACTCTCAACAGCTCTTGACAGTGGAAAAATGACAATATTTGCATTTTTGATGACAACACGTTCATGTAATCTCTTTGCTACACTGAAACTGTCCACAGCATGATTCATCACAAAACATTTTCCCATAACCCTTATAATGACAAACTCAAAACAGATGTAATGACTCTCCAGATCACTCAAAGTCTCTCATGGTAACTTGTAAATTCACATCGCGCTCATAGTTGGGTCTCTCATGTGGTGCACGTAGTCTCACAAGATCGCCTTCACTGTCATGAACATGTGTGAAAACAAGGAGACATCTGGGGTATGCAAAGAGGTTGGACTCTCATGGTCACTCCAGGTCTCTCACGTGGTAACTTGTACACTGACAATGCGCCCATAAGGTTCATTGAGGGTTTGTCATATGGTGCACTGATTCTTACAAGGTCCCATCTCTATTATCTGAGATGAAATTTTGTTGAAATTATATATAGTTTAATCTCCAACTTATTTATTTTCAGATTTAACCGCGCCGTGAACATGACGAAACTGCATGCAAGTGTTTTGCTAAAAGTCTCCAAGTCACGCCCATATGGAATATAATGTTCATCTGGTGAATTTATATTGAGGCAGGCATATTTTTCAGAACATGTACACTTACAGCGGTTTTCGTTTTAAGGGAAAAATGAAATAGATTGCTTGGGTGTTGTTTCATGTTTTGAGAGAAATACCTGAAAATTTTACTGGTAAGATATACTGAGGGAATATACTGGGAAACATATTATGCGAGGCAAGCCTTTTCAAACAATACTGTGAAAAGGAATTTTGCAGAGTGAAGGAATATTTGCAGAGTTGCAGAGGTATACTGTGAGGGAGTACTTCCAGAGAGATACTGCGAGGTACATACTTTGAGAGATACTGTGAGGTTATACTTCCAGAGAGATACTGTGAGGGAATACTTCCAGATAGATACTGCGAGGTAAAATATACTTTCAGAGATACTGTGAGGGAATACTTCCAGAGAGATACTGTGAGGGAATACTTCCAGAGAGATACTGCGAGGTAAAATATACTTTCAGAGATACTGTGAGGGAATACTTCCAGAGAGATACTTCGAAATAAAATATACTTTCAGAGATACTGTGAGGGAATACTTCCAGAGAGATACTGCGAGGGAATACTTCCAGAGAGATACTGCGAGGTAAAATATACTTTCAGAGATACTGTGAGGGAATACTTCCAGAGAGATACTGCGAGGTAAAATATACTTTCAGAGATACTGTGAGGGAATACTTCCAGAGAGATACTGGGAGGGAATACTTCCAGAGAGATACTGCGAGGTAAAATATACTTTCAGAGATACTGTGAGGGAATACTTCCAGAGAGATACTGCGAGGTAAAATATACTTTCAGAGATACTGTGAGGGAATACTTCCAGAGAGATACTGTGAGGGAATATTTCCAGAGAGATACTGCGAGGTAATACCTGGAGATACCTGTGAGTTTCACTGTGAGGGAAAAGTTTCAGAGATACTTGTGTGAAGGAGTTTTCCCAGAGATGCTGTATAACGGAGTATCTTTAAAAAAATATTGTGGGGGAATACCTTCCAAGACCTTCCTTGTGCAGTGCAGGGTTACTGTGACAGTAACCTCTTGCGAAGGTGAAACCTTCGATTGTGGCAGAATGAATCCACCCAAAGATATGCCACAGCAAAAGTTCAAATGCCATGTATGCAAGCACACAGATCGAACAAGTTCACATATACAACATAACCATGTGTGTTTCATTGTTTTGAAAGTTTTTAGTCTGAGAAAAACTGACAAAAATGATTCCAAAGTAAAAACTTCGAATAAACTACGTATAAACTTCGAAGTTAAACTTCGAACGAATCACGAGCAAACTTCGAAGGTAACGGTTGAATTTTGGCATGGTCAAAACCATGAAAGATCAACAAAATAGACAAAATTTAGCTTAATCTATTTTCAAGATTTTTCTCTATATAGATTAAAAACAACTCTCTATATAGACAAAAAAAACACAAATTTATCTATAATAGTTAAAAAAAATAATCTATTTGCAAGAAAAAAATAAGATAATAGATAAAATCGAAATTGTCTAATAGATAGAAATCTATAGATTTTTACGATCTATCTATTTTGTAGTTTTTTGTCTAATTCGGTCTTTTGGGTATTGAAATCTTGGCCATGTCCAGGAACTAGGGTTTCTTCTTTAATTTTTTTTGGGTTCCACCCTTGATGTGTGAAGAACCTGCAAGACACCACTAAGTCAACCAACCAGAAAAGGTGATATCAAACTTTCTGGGATTTTTTCCGAGCTTTGGGGACTGGGAAAAAAATGCGGGGTTCCCTGGGGAAAATTGGACTTGTACAAGTAAGACATGTTTCCAAACAACCCATTTTTTAAGACACAAGCTTCGATGCCTTGAACAAGTCATTGATACTTGTGTATATAATACACTAGTACACTATCAAAAATCAATCAAAATCATCTAAATTCTGGCAGTCAAATCTCTGATAACTGTATATTTCCTCAACCAAACAACGCCCTCAACCTAACAACAAGGATGGAAATAGATTGGAGATAAATGCATGGGTTTTCTTTTTGAACTATGTGTTGAGCCTTCGATCGATTCAAACTGTTTCAGTTGGACCCAGGCCTACTAAACAGGGTGCATCGACATTAAAAGGAATCACAAAGTGAACTCCGTAGTTCTATGCTCTCACACTCGGAGGAAAGTACTGTACTGGTGAATTTCATTTGCAGTGCATGAGCGCAGTTGAGATGGTAAAATAAACTAAACAAAATTATATAGATGTTTTCAATAGCTGATGAAGCAGCTCTACATATTGGTTTAGTGAAAGTCCCACCAAAGAGATCATGTCGAGGGTTAATGAGTGCCTATTCAGAAAACAATCGAACAAAAATCACCAGGACAGCTTATGGACTGGGAAACATCAGAGGAATACATGGGTGCTAAACGGGGCGGGGCGTGTCCCCATGTGTCCTGTGTCAAGCTGCAATGGGCGGCTTATTGGCAAAACCCATCACAACAAAGGAGACGGAGGACTGTTTCATTTTTTTGGGTGAACACTGGTAGTAGGTGATACAGAAGCATCCAATCCTGCACTAACCAACAGGGTTGCATAGAGTTGCTTTGTTATGATTTTTTAAATATCCTAACTTGTGACGTGTGTCACGCTTCATGAAAATTTTCTTGAGATCAGCAAATCTGTTGAGAAACTGTCAGAATTCAGTGGTGTCGCCATCCACCTGCAGATATATAAATGGAACATCAGGAACATCTTTCAATCCAATCTTGAGATTCTTTGGACGAAAATGGCGGTGGACCTTCCACAGTATTCCGCAAAAATAAACTCACCACACCCAACCTCCACATTTGCATAAATTTCCTGGGCAAATCCCTAATTTAATTGCTAAAGATCTCTGTTTGTTTCAAATCAACATAGCGATTTTTGGATCATTTTTTGGTACATGCCCAATTTCCTTGTTAACATCCATTGTTAAGGAATTCTACCCTCTGGTAATTTAACATAGCTATTGAAATTGGCCATAGAAATAGTGGATTTTCCCATGAAAAATGGTGGATCTTTCCATAGCAATGTTAAATTACCAGAGGGTATATCCTTTGCTGTTTTATATCCCTCTTTTCGTCGTTGCTTCGGAGTTTTTCCTCGCGCAGGATGGTGGCGATCATCGCGGACTCGCCTTTGGGGTCTCTGCCATGCAGGGCTGGCGCGAAGGGATGGAGGTGTAGACGGGTAGACGTTGTGGGATGATACCGGGATGTTGTGAGTTCACATTTTTGGTAACTGGAAATAATTCAAGGAATAGTGATTTTTTTGATTCATGTAGAAACTTTGGAGATATATTATGTTGTATTTTTTTCTACGTGTCCCATGTATGTTATACATATAATTTATACAAATAAACAAATAATTAGATAATATACATTCCCGGCGCGCTCCGTTTTGTCGGCCGGGGTCGGCCGAGATCCTTTCGTGGAATATCATCAACAGCATGTAATCAACTCTGGGAAATCATTCTGGGTCATGATCCTGGGGGTCGATCGTTGAGTAGCCGCGTTCAGAAACTGACCGGCCATGATAGGCGTTGGGCCATTGTGACCAACAATACGATAGTATATTTTACGGTATGGTCATAAAAATAAAAGATAAAACATCATTTGATAACCAGTATATAAATGGTATGAAACCAGCTATAGCCCATGCGTATCCAGCGGTGGCTGATCTGGGTAATCGCCAGCGATCATCATGGCGAACAGGTAGCGATCCAGGCTTAGAACAAACTGCGAAGTGATCCATATTTGCAAGCTGTATGCTAGTCAGCAATTTCTGATTATGTACAAGCTTATCACTTATCCACTGTATTATCAACCCATTGTGATTCAATTGTCCCCTGTTTCACTGGTCACTTCACTGTTTTCCTTGGTAGACACTGGGTTACAAGTGCCAACCCGGTTTCTGTAGGAGGAAAATTGTGGTTAACTCCTTAATCATCCACCATTTTGAAATTAAAAGGGTTATTTACCCCTCAAATGCAAATCAAGGATCGTTTATGGATTTGGTTTTACCACATGAACCGGGTAGCTGCGCTAAGGTAGTTTTTGTTGCTTGAAACTAAATTGATAAACGTCTTGGAAAGATGCAAACAATGGAAGGTGAAAACACAAAGAATGATGGGACATTACTCTGACATTACTATTGTTTTTTCTACGATAGTCGATAGTCACAGAAGGTGTTTTTGCTGAATTTGGTTGAACTCAGGTCCCAGATTTTGGGGAATCTCAAGTTTTGGGGAATCCGAGTCCAGCGGATGGAGAGTCTCATGAAACAGCGAAGCGCATGCCCAATGTGTCAAAAATATGGTGGGAACAACTGTGGTACCCTCTGGTAATTTAACATAGCTATTGAAAATAACCATTTATAGTGAGTTGTCCCATTAAAAATGGTGATTTTCCATAGTTATGTTAGTTTACCAGAGGGTAAAAGTCATCATCTCCCCATGCTGTCGGAAAAGCCGTCAGTTTCCAGGACGCTCATATGGCCATTCCAGACTTTGACTCTGAGCGCTGGCAGCTTAAAATTATAGCCTGGGAGATGTTTTCCAATAGCCATCACTGTCGAAAACACAAGGTGAGGTGGTGCTTAGTGCTGAATGGCCTACATTTTATATTCATTTTATGGAGGGGATGACTTGAATCACTTGAAGTTGCTGAGGCCAACTGGGGCTCTTTGGAGTTTTTGATGGCCATGGAGGGTCCGCAGCATCTTGGCTTCGCAGAATGTCCCGGCAGGGAAAGTTATATAAATTATATAAATCAATTGAATAAAAAAACGTTCAACAAAAACCAATAGTTTGCTGGGACAATCCCTAAAGGGTCTTGGAGTCTTTTTTGTGCTTCTTTTGAGGTGGCCAAAGTTGTTGCTGCAACCTTTCCTGCGACATTGAAACGTCAGAAGTCCTTCATTCAGGTGCCATGAAATGGGGTTCCCACTGGGTGGGCTGGTGGAGTTTGGCCACAGAAATCTGCACCCTTGATGCTGTTGCCTGCAGGAGTCCTGATGCATATGAGGAAACAGGCAAACTGGCCTAAGCCAGAAGTGGGTTAAGAATATTGGATAATATTGGCATATAGAGTCTAGAGTGGGTGATTTTGTTCCATGTCTGACACTTGGGAATTCCTAGCCTGTCAGCCATGCATTCGCTTTCAAAATGATCTGTGTCCTGTTTCTGGGCAAAGGTCCACGTAGTACCGATACTTTTCAAATGGGCTGAAACCTACAACCACTCAAGTTGTTGAATTGGGACCAGCCTTGCATTTGGTGAAGCTATCAACATAGCTTTATATCCTCTCGCTGCATGTCACACCCGGTGACCTCATGGATCAAAGCCCCCTACGTTTCACTTTTCGTTTTGAGCCATGCTAATTACCATCAGATAAACTAACATAGCTATGGAAAATCACAATTTTTAAGAGGTAAATCAACTATAAATAGGCCATTTTCATTAGCAAAGTGTTAGTCATTACAAAGGGGTAGATCCTAACTTTCCTTGAGTTGCAAGGACCCCCTTGGATGGCCACGGCAGGGGCAGTATTCCGAAGCACTCTATCAGGCGGGGCATGGCCGTGACAGGTCGGTACCATTCGTCTAACACGAAGAGTCTTGAGCATCAAATAGGTATTTAATATGTTGTGAGTTGGTTTTATATGAAGACATTTTCTTACATGATAGCTTTTCATTTTTTTGAACATATACTGTAGATACAATATGATAGAATTGGGATGAATTGGGTAGATACTCAAGGCCGCCTTGCTGAAAAATTTTTGAATGGTCAGACGGTCAGACCTTCTTGGCGGTGGACGATTTTCTGGACAGCGCCAAAGGAAGAGAAGAGGCCGCCCTGGGGCATGGAGCTGTTGACTGCGTAGTTTCATGGCTAGTTTCATAGTAAACCTTGGTTGACTGGGTAGTTTAACCATTTGACTAAGTAAACATGGGTTGGGTAGTTCAATGGGTCTTTTGCTTGCAGAAGTGGAGGTGGTTGACCAGAAGAGACCAGGAGTTGGGATGAACCACTTGGCAGGTTGAACGGGTGCTGGCAGCGGCTCCGCCAGTGGAGCGGGATGTTGAGGAGGAGGAGTTGAGACCGGGCCCATTTCGCACTTGTCCGGGAGCAAACCATCCAGATGCTTGCGATATACTATACTATACTTGTTTCGGAGATTGAAATTCGAACCGGTTTCATCGGATTGTCCCATGTGCTGTAGTACTGGGGTATCACATGAGGAAGTTGGTGAGTTGTTCTATCAAACACAAACTTTGATGTATCCAGTGTCGTTTCACAGTGTCTTGATGATCTCAAAATGGTTCACATTTGTCAGATCCAGACTCATGGTTGATCATTTGTCCTCATGAAAGTTGCCATAACTTGGTGTATCCCTCACGGAAAAGCCTGTACCAAGCTTGAGCTTACAAGCGCCATCCGACTTTAGCTGTTTCTGCGGCTGAATGGATATACCCTGCGTGCAGTTGCTGAGTTTCAGCGATCAAATCCACTGGGGAAAGCTGATCCAACGACCTGATTCAGTGGTCCCAACTCTGATAAGAGGTGGCTATGGGTCCAGTCATTGAATGGGTATAATGTGGTTTCCCCCAACGACAAACGTACCATTTGGGGATGAATTGTTGGGTCACCATGGGCTGCCCATGGTAATCGATGGCCAACTTTTGAGCCATGGCTTTCGAGCGCTTTGTGGCCCAGCGAGCGTCTCAGGCCACGAGGGTAGCTGGGCTGTGGCGGGAATTTACCTGAATATCCTGAATGCACCGTTCTCAGACTGTTCTCTTGCCATTTCTAAAACTTGCGAAGTCGGCCAAGATTTCATGTTTTCTTGGCCAGGTGAGGGCCAAGGGCGAGGATGTGGGCTCTGGTTGGTCACAGGAAGCCTTGCTGTCAGGTGCCGGTGGGGATGCTCAGGACTGAACGTGGCTTGGATGTGCCGGTTGACTCTGATTTACCATCCAACGGCGAGCCCCGAAGTCGAGGCTGGGAAGCCTTGGGTGAGTCGACCAGGCGGGGCCGCGGAGTTGACCATTGCTGGAACTCACCATGGAACTCCAAGAACTGGGTGAGGACATGAACATGATTTCCTCTCTGGAGGTTGGAATTTTATTGATGTCCACAGCAGGTGAGAGATGGCTAAAGAATATGTAGTTCAGACCTCTTCAAATATAAATGAAACATGTAGTGCGTCCAGTTTCAGTGGCCCATGCGCACAACATGTTGTGAGTTTCACACCAAGAGCCCAGAGGCATCAGCAGCAAATTCCAAGTGACTCCCCATCTTGGAAACTGGGAACCGCTGAGGAAAACATTCACTTCCCAGTGCCTTGTGGGTCAAAACCCTTTACCGTAGTGCCGCAGTGCAGACTTCTTGATATTTTGGTATGTCCTGGGTCTGAATTTGACCTACAGCCTGTTCTGCCCCCAATCGCACGATCTTCCTGTGAGGAGTTTCCGCGAACTCTACGGCTTTCCTGCGACGCTGGCATGGGTGTCTGCCTCAGCAATTCCATCCTGGACGTGAAATGAACAACCGCCAATTCCCGCACAAAACTAGATCCTTCTAGATATCTGCATTTCTAAGTGTCTGCATCGGTGTTTTGTCCAGTTTTTTTCCCGGTAGGTTTTGTTTTGAGAATTTGAGTGACTCGAGTGCCATCATCAAGGGCTGTATGGGTGACCATCCTTAGGCTGCCTTACAGCTGAAGGATCTCCCACCAGCAAGGCTTGGCCAGTGAAAAACCTGTGGCAATCCAACAGGCAAATGGGTTAGTGTAGCAGTATAGCAACCATCTGGATGCTGCTGATTTGCAACAGTTCAGCATCCAACGCTGCCTGGCACTGGGCATGTACTTCAAGTCTATTTGCCAGTGTATTTGCTGGATTTTTACCCTCCTATTTTAGACACCCACTTTGTACAGCACTTTTTCTCATTAAACACATGGTATATACGGTGTACCATCGCCCCCAACATCCCCTACCTAACATAGCCCTGGTCATTTTTGGGGCGTTGGAGTTACAACCCAGCGCAGGCATGTGGAGGTATGGATCATTGGAGCCCGCAGCGGCATGGAAGGATGGTTGGCGGAGGACGCCCGGGGAATGCGGTGTCAAGATGAGGGGTTCTTTGAATCACTCACTGTACACTGGCTGGTGAAAATGTGTTCTACACGGGGGGGCCCAAGGAAGACTGGCTCCGCAAAGTCAACATGGTATGGTTTACTACTGTCGGAAGTACCAAAATCGTCCAAAATCAATCCAAACCCAAATTTATTCCAAAGTTACCCAAAATGATTCCAAAATCATCCAAAACCTTTGGTCGCGAGGAAGGCAGCTGGGATTTCTTGATCGAGGCAGCAGCTCCAGTGTCCTTGGGTTCGGTCCAGTGTTCAATTAGTTCAAACCGTTTTTGAAATATTATTGACGGACAGTCATTTAGAACATATTTTTGAAAAATAGTTTTTAGAGTACATTGGGAGCTACGTTTTAGAACATCCAAAGTCCTCACACTTAGAACATCTCAAGACATTACAACATACACATATTTATAAATATCTGTTAACATAGCTACTACATATGCATATATGATATATGATATATGATACATGATAAATGATAAATGATATATATATATATATTATGAATATATATGTACATAATATGTACATAATATGTATGGTTTAGGTTTAAGATGATCTCATTTTCCAACGATGAAGCCATCCTTTCATGAAGCCATCCTTTCAGAAACCCCATGGCCAACACCACTCTCGATTTTGTATAGTTTATAGCAACATCCGTAAACGTGGATGGTGTCTTCTTCGGTCTCCCAAAAGCACAACACCGCATGTTCAGATCTTCCCAACGTCGTCGTGGAAGCTTTGTTTGATTGGACCAGAGATGCGTGAAGACCTGAGGTGGGCTCACTCAAATTGCTATATGGGTACCATTCAGTAACCATCATGGGAAACTCCCCATGAAAAATGGAAGTTTTAATCGGAAACTCATATTACAAATGGGGCATTTTCCAGCGAGCCTTGTTTTATCACCGGAGGGTACGTGTCTATGGAAAAACTGAAGTGACTCTTTTGTCCATCAGTCATGAGATTCATCCGATTGTTTCACAATCCCCGCTTCGCTTGCCTATTGGACGGGGACATCCCGCAAAAGATGTCTGCTCTTTGTCGGTTAAGGTAAATCCTTTTTGGTTTACAATGCTCTTCGAGTCCTTTCCGAGCAAGCAGCTGTCAAAGACATCAGATGTGGTCAAGTCAAGTATTTGGGGCAGACCGTCAATGGAATTTGCCATCCACATATATCCACATGATATACATTGGCAAACAAACATAGTCATGACCTTTTACCATTCAATAGCCTTCGGCAAGCCGCCGATCTCAGCTTGGGCTAGTGGTGTTGGGCGCATGGAGCTCCAGCCAAGAAAACCGCGTGTAGTCGTATAGTTTTTTCAAAACGTACATATTATGACGTTGATGGTGGGGTTTGGGTGGGGTTGGGCAATAACGCTCAAGTTACTATGTCTCCGTCTGGGTTGGGGTTTGGGTTGGGTGGGGTGGGGCAATAACTTTCAAGTTACTACTTCTATGTCATGGGTTGGGGTTTGGGTGGGATGGGGTGGGGCAATCACGTTCAAGTTACCTCGCGCAGCATGGGTTGGGGTTTGGGTGGGTGGGTGGGTGGGGTGGGGCAATAACGTTCAAGTTACTACGTCTACGTCAGTACAAATGCTTCAATGCGTCTTTTCGGCTTTCATCTTAACGTCTTGACATCTTGCCTCTTTCATCTTTCTGATGATCAGCTGCTACATTTTCCATCGTTATCATTGCCTTGTCTTAAACTTATATATAAGTGTACTTCTGACATACTTTTTACATCTTTTTACATTGTTTATACTTACACCTGAGTAGGTTGTTCCTCAACGCTCTCGGGCCATCTGTCGTCTAGTTGCATATGTTGCATTGGCTATCCCATCGCCCTTTTTTCAGGTTTTTTGATGTCGTTGCATGTCTTACAATTTCGTTTCAGAAGACATTTCCAGGATTGTAGTTTTGATTGCACATCCAGCCATTCTTGGGTAGTGAATTATTTATCGATCCTCAACCCTTTCATGCCCATAGATGTCTCACATGTCAGCTGGTTGGTTGATAGAAAAAGAGGAGTAAACGGGTAAACCCTAAACATTGAAATTGCATTTTAACTTGTAAATAGACACAATTCTCATGAACAAAAACGCCCGCTAGACGCTTTGGCATGCCCGTGGATTTGGCTGAAGCGTAGAAACCCTTTCAAGACGTACCCAAAACTGACCAAGCGATTGGTGCTTCCAAGTCGGCCATTGAATGAAAAACGATCCATCAAAATTTCAAACCTGGCCAGGTTGGGTGCTCGAGTGGAGGTTGAGTCTGCACGACTTCAGGCTGCGGCGACTATTTGGGGGGAAGGTCCAGCCACTGACTGCTTCCATTTCCAACTCCAAACGTTTTTGCGGTACGAACAACTAAATGCAATTATTCAATTGACCATCGAAATTTGGGCGCCCAATCACAGCCGAACAATCGTGGACTCCGTGGACGTCAATGTCCATGCGGGGTTGCTTCATTTCTTGGGATTTAAATCTATCCATGTACCCCCGGGATTGGTTCGTTGTCACCTGGATTTGCCACCGCTGTCAGGGCCACGAGTGGATTCAGAAAGATGGTTTGTGCCCTGATCTGGTGGCTGGGGCACCTGAGAACACCTGGAACACTTGGGCTGGTGGGGTATGCACCCCTTCATATGGCCACTTGAATACGAAAATCATGATAAATGGAGTTACACATCGATGGAGTTACACATCGATGGAGTTACACATCGATGGAGTTACACATTGATGGAGTTACACATTGATGGAGTGCCTATGAAAGACATGACATATTGATGGGGTACCCTATCGTCAGACAAACCCATGTGCGAACATGCTGCATTTGGATGGCATGGGTTTCCAAATTTTGAGGCATCCCGAAATGGCCAAAGAACATCATTTTTTTCCATCATTTGAACCACACCTTTCCAAACAAAACCAACATTTTCAAGCCTTTCGTGTTTGCGAGAACCTACACGCTGCGTTTTGAAAGGATTGTGAATGCTTCCAACGGAAACGCCACGGCTGCAAAGGTTTGTTTCAACTCTGGCATTGGAACACTATCCTTGTCCATCACCAAACCCTGGCTGCTGACCGTGGCTGCATTGCTGAAGCTAGGTGGAAGAGGGCATGGGGTAAACATGGGACAACAGATGCCAGAAGCTGGTGTCATCAGCCCTCAGCGTGCTTGGGGCTTTGATTGGACGTACAGTTGAGGTCATGATCATGAGGACATATCAAGCATGGATTCTTGCAATTTTGCATAGATCCTGAATGTTGGTTTATACGGGTGATGGGCACGGAGGAAATGCATGCTGTGAAGAGTTACACAGTTCCTTTGTTTATTGAAATCGTGTTGTGGTTTTTGCCTAGAAATTGCATGAATTTGCTTCCGTGATTGAAATATACGACAACCAAGGCTGTGAAGTTGTTTAAAGTCAATTTTCCGTTTTACTTTGAGCCACTTCAACCCTTGGGACTTGATCCAGCGGTGTGTTGTGATGCCAGATGTGCCAATTCTCTTCACTTGCTTCGGCTTGAAGGAGAACTGGGATACAGTGATGGCTAAGCTTCTGCGACTTTCCATAGGTTGGCATTGCAACTTTCAGGCATCAACCCCCAAAATATTATGCGGGTTTTAAACTACAACCATGCATTTTTAATTAACAACAGTTTGGATGTTGAACAAGGGGATTTAAAGCAGGAAACATTGGGATTTCAAACAACACAAACGATGAATCTGATCAACAAAACGGTATTTTGTCCAACCCTAATTTAAGCAACAAAAAATGGTTTTGAACCAAGAACAAAGAGATAATAATTAATAGAACCAACAATACAGTTTCTATCTTTTGATCAACAACAAATGGGAGGGCCGTACACTTGAAACAAAAAGAATAGGGCCATGGGGCTAAGCCATCAATGGAAAATGGGGAGAATGACGACTTTAACCAACAATAACCAACAATAACCAACAACAATGGGTATAGATTCTAAATTATTTAAGCTTAGGCTTAAGCAGCACCAGCGACAGCGGTAATACGTGGACGGTCCACAATGCGACCACCGAAATGCCGAAATGGGGGATCAGATGCAGCTGGGCAAGGTGTTTCATTGATTCGAAAGCATTCGGAAAACATTCATTCCCTAAGTGCAGGGCGCATATTATGGACCTAACAACTCCAGCTTGATTGGAAATCATGGGACGCTTTTGGTTCATTCCTACAGTACAGGCTTTCTGCTGTATGGCTGCTCGGATGGTTGTGCTTCATAGGCAAGATCCATCGCCTAAGTCACTGGTGGGTATCCATTGGCTATTGCATAAAATTATACACAATTATTATATATTATTATATATTATTCAATAGCTATTACATATAATTGCAAGCAAAATGAACATGATAAGAAAATACTGATGATGATGATGATGATGATGATGATTTTTGTTATCATTATGATAATGACTATCATTGTTATTGTTATTGCCATGATTATGGTAGAACCTGAAATTCCTAGATAGATTGGTACATGTGTGCACGTGTGTGTGTATATATATATATACACAATATGGATCGTTAGAATGAACATGGGGATTGTGATTTGAAGTTAAATTATCACCACAGCCACTAACACTAGTCATTTATTCACAACATTAATCATTTTAATCACATTGAAATTCATTAACTAACATGAATCATTTCAGCAATGATTTGCACGAATTCTGGCCACATAATGCCCCGGTTGACCTTTGATCCTTTGACGCTGGCGCAGCTACAGCACCAGGAGCGCAAGGGAGAGGACTGCCCCGGATTGGTTTTTTTTGCAACGATATAATGCTGCTTGGAGGCTGCCTCATTTGTTCCTGAACAAAAACATTTCCAAGTGATTCACATGGAAAAAACATATGGACACACTCAAACATCGTGGGTTTTTCATCATTTTTTCCATGACACAATTTTGAGATATCCCGATATCCCGACAAACCCCACAGGATGCCTAGTTGGTTCCAGGAGTTCCTGCTTAGGGGTCTATTCAAGGTGGGACCGCATGTTTTCGGAAGTTGTTTGGTGGGATTATTTGGTCCACTTCCAGGTTTTCGTCTGTTTCAAAACTTGAGACTTTGAGACTTTGACTTAGCTCAGCTTGGCCCAGGATCGATTCTCAGGGTATTTTGACCCAAAAACCAGAGGTCCTGGGCACTGCCAGGCTCGAGTGCTTGTGGACTTCCTTGAAAACCCATTTCGACAGAGGTGTCAGACGGGTGAGGTGGGGTTTGTTGGGCCAAATGGGCCAAATTTGACAGGATAAAGGATGATGAATCGGAATCCTCCATATTTAAAGAACAATAAAGATCACCCCGAATTTGGACTCATCCACTGGGCCAAATGGTTGTGGCTCAATGGGGCAATGGTGAAACAGAAAAGCTGCCAGTGTTTCACGATCCCAACGGTGGATGGGTCAGATCAGCAGGCTTCCCATTGGAGCAGTGTTCAACCCCCCTGTTGATTGATGATGATTTGGGGTTCTACTATGTTATACTTTCATATACTTTCCAATTTCCATTACGGTCCAACATATTGGAGATTGTCATCCACCATGGGAACCTCTCAACCAACCAGTGTAACGGATGCCTTAAGGTCTTGTTTCAAGCCACCTGCGAAATGCTCAGGCCGGGCGATCGACCCGGTTGCTATCGATCTCTTGAGGAGGCCCGGCCAATGATTGCAGGGCTTGTCCAAAGTTGGAGGAGTTGGTCTCTCCAAAGTACAACATATATATATAACATATATATATAACATATATATATAACATATATATATATATAACATATATATATAAGGAACTACTCGTACTTAGAATATGCCGGAATTCAATCCTGCCCCCTCATAGGAAAAAAAAGGTACATAGAATATGTTTTATTTTTAGAAGATTTTAGAAGATCAATTTTAGAAGATCCAATCCCTAAAAATTCAGCTCCACCAAAAACCCTGGGCTCCCACCATGGATCACCATGGTTTTTTCCACTGCAATCGCGAACTTAGTCCAATTTCTTCAGTTTCTTTTTGCAATCTAAACATATTTCGTAGGCATTCATGTCGGTTCCCGCCGTTTTGCCGCAACAATCTCGAAAGAAATGCAACTGATGCAGGTGGCAGGGAATGTGTCATTAAATCTGCCAAATTCCTATGTTTTTCAATCAAAATTTAGATTTTTTGACATTGACCGTGAAAAGCCATGAAAACCAGGGGAAGGTTCATCCATTTTTGAGGAACGCTACCTAATTCCATTGGGTTTCATTGCAAAGCAGTTATTTTTAATTGTTCTGCGACACCGGTCGTGGGGGTAACCTTAGGTGAGCTTGAAAAACTCATTTTCTTGAATACAATTCATCCTTTTTTTGAGGAACACCACCTAATTCCATTGGTTTTCGTTGCAAAGTAGGTTTTTCTCATTGTTCTACGGCACCGGTCGTGGGGGTACCCTTCGGTGAGCTTTAAAAAAACATTTTTTAAATACAATATGAAAAGAAATTAATCATCTCGGGGGACATCAGAAACTATATTTTTTGACACCAACCATGAAAGACCATGAAAACCAAGGGAAGGTTCATCCATTTTTTGTGGAATACAACCTAATTCCATTGGTTTTCATTGCAAAATATGTTTTGTTTTTATCATAGTTCTACGACACCAGTCGTGGGGGTTCCCTTAGGTGAGCTTAAAAAACTCATTTTTTTAATACCATAATAAAAGAAATTGATCATTTCAGGGGACCTTTTTTTCCTGAAATGTTCTCCAGTTTAGGAACTTCAGACATCCAGGGTCGCTACTCCCCAAAGGGAATTGATCTATACCCTTATACATGGAAGAGACCCAATTCCTTGCAGAACTACATACATAGAATATAAGTCTCAAGGGGAAGATTCACTTTTTTTTTGAGGAACACCACCTAATTCCATTGGTTTTCATGGCAAAGTAGGTTTTTTTCATTGTTCTACGACACCGGTCGTGGGGGTAACCTTAGGTGAGCTTGAAAAACTCATTTTTTTTAACAAAACAAAAAGAAATTTATCATTTCGGGTGACCTGGTGCTTTCTTAATGTTCCAGTTCAGGAACTTCAGACATCCAGGGTCGCTACTCCTCAAAAGGAATTGATCTATACCCTTATACATGGAAGAGACCCAATTCCTTGCAGAACTACATACATAGAATATAAGTCTCAAGGGGAGGATTCACTTTTTTTAAATAGGAACACCACCCAATTCCATTGGTTTTCATTGCAAAATATGTTTTTTTTATCATAGTTCTACGACACCAGTCGTGGGGGTAACCTTAGGTGAGGTTGAAAAGCTCATTTTTTAAAAACAATATAAAAAGAAATTGATCATTTCATGGGACCTTTTTTTCCTGAAATGTTCTCCAGTTTAGGAACTTCAGACATCCAGGGTCGCTACTCCCCAAAGGGAATTGATCTATACCCTTATACATGGAAGAGACCCAATTCCTTGCAGAACTACATACATAGAATATAAGTCTCAAGGGGAAGATTCACCTTTTGTTTATAGGAACACCACCCAATTCCATTGGTTTTCATTGCAAAGTAGTTATTTTCATTGTTCTACGGCACCGGTCGTGGGGGTAACCTTAGGTGAGCTTGAAAAACTCATTTTTTTTAACAAAACAAAAATAAATTTATCATTTCGGGTGACCTGGTGCCTTTTTAATGTTCCAGTTCAGGAACTTCAGACATCCAGGGTCGCTACTCCCCAAAAGGAATTGATCTATACCCTTATACATGGAAGAGACCCAATTCCTTGCAGAACTACATACATAGAATATAAGTCTCAAGGGGAGGATTCACTTTTTTTAATAGGAACACGACCCAATTCCATTAGTTTTCATTGCAAAGTAGTTTTTTTTTATCATAGTTCTACGACACCAGTCGTGGGGGTTCCCTTAGGTGAGCTTAAAAAACTCATTTTTTTAATACAATATAAAAAGAAATTGATCATTTCAGGGGACCTTTTTTTCCTGAAATGTTCTCCAGTTTAGGAACTTCAGACATCCAGGGTTGCTACTCCCCAAAGGGAATTGATCTATACCCTTATACATGGAAGAGACCCAATTCCTTGCAGAACTACATACATAGAATATAAGTCTCAAGGGGAAGATTCACTTTTTTTTGGAGGAACACCACCTAATTCCATTGGTTTTCATGGCAAAGTAGGTGTTTTTCATTGTTCTACGACACCGGTCGTGGGGGTAACCTTAGGTGAGCTTGAAAAACTCATTTTTTTAAAACAAAACAAAAAGAAATTTATCATTTCGGGTGACCTGGTGCTTTTTTAATGTTCCAGTTCAGGAACTTCAGACATCCAGGGTCGCTACTCCCCAAAAGGAATTGATCTATACCCTTATACATGGAAGAGACCCAATTCCTTGCAGAACTACATACATAGAATATAAGTCTCAAGGGGAGGATTCACTTTTTTTAATAGGAACACGACCCAATTCCATTGGTTTTCATTGCAAAGTAGTTTTTTTTTCATTGTTCTACGACACCGGTCGTGGGGGTAACCTTAGGTGAGCCTGAAAAACTCATTTTTTTGAATACAATATAAAAAGACATTGATCATTTCGGGGGACATCAGAAGCTATATTTTTTGACACCAACCGTGAAAGACCATGAAAACCAGGGGAATGTTCATCCATTTTTTGAGGACCACCACCTAATTCCATTGGTTTTCAAGGTAGAGTAGTTTTTTTACACTAGTTCTACGACACCGGTCGTGGGGGGGGGACCCTTAGGTGAGCTTCAACAACTCATTTTTTTAATACAATATAAAAAGAAATTGATCATTCCGGGGGACCTGTTTTTTTTTGTTGAAACGTTTTAGGAACTTCAGACATCCAGGGTTGCTGCTCCCCAAAGGGAATTATGTATATAATATATAATTATCCTTATACATGACAAGGACCCAATTCCTTGCAGAATTGCATACATATAATATAGGTCCCCAGTGAAAATATTCATCCATTTTTCCAGGAACACCACCCAATTCCGTTGGTGTTCATTGCAAAATAGTTTTTGTCATAGTTCTACGACACCAGTTGTGGGGGATACCCTTCAGTGGGCTTGAAAAAAAATATTTTTTTAAATACATTATAAAAAGAAATGGGTCATTTCGGGGACCTGTTTTTTGTTGAAACGTTCTAGTTGAGGAATTTCAGACATCCAGGGTTGCTGCTCCCCAAAGGGAATTATGTATATAAAATATATACCCTTATACAGGAAAGAGACCCAATTCCTTCCAGTACGGATGATATTTTTATAATTCAAAATATTTTAGTGGGCTGAAAGTTTGAAACATGTCCATTTATGTCCATTTATGCTGCAGTATGGGTGATATTTTGATAATTCAAAAGATTTTAGTGGGATGAAATTTCGACAAATGTCCATTTATGTCCATTTATGCTGCAGTATGGGTGATATGTTGATAATTCAAAAGATTTTAGTGGGATGAAAATTTGACAAATGTCCATTTATGTCCATTTATGCTGCAGTATGGGTGATATTTTGATAATTCAAAAGATTTTAGTGGGATGAAAATTTGAAAAATCTCCATTTATGTCCATTTATGCTGCAGTATGGATGAAATTTTGATAATTCAAACAAATCAAAAAAAAGCATCTTCCAGAATTGAAAAAATATTCTATGTACACCTCTCGGATATTCTATGTACACGTTTTTTTTTCAATTCCTGAAGATGCCCTAAAACGTAAAAATTTTTCAATTCTATATTCTATGTACTAGTAGTTTCTTATATATATATATGACATTGGTCTCTCCGAATTTTTGGAAGCTGAAATTTCTCCAAAGTTGGAGGAGTTTCTCCCATTGCCTCAGGAAAGCTTGTCAGCTCCTGAAGGCCGATGGGCTGGCCGAGCCTCAAGCAACGAAGAAGACCACTTGTACTTTCATTGACATATATATGTATATATATATACATACACATGATTATATATGTGTGTTTACGTATTTATATTGATAAATAAAAATAAGACATGAATATACAAACAAACAGATCAATAAAAAAAACCTAAGTGTACAAATGTATACATACATAATAATGTTTCATTGATCAACGTGCCTTGACACTGACACAACGACTGCGGTTTGGTCACAGGTGAGGCGGAGCTCTGCAATGCGCAGTTGTGGTGGGCGCAAGGATTGGGCCTCTTTTTTGTTGGCGGGGAAGAAGTGAAGTAATGGCAAATGTAACATAATATACCCTGTACATACCAATATCTAGAAATATAGTCACAACTATAATTAAAAGACAATGATTTATCATGATACTGTGGATGGTTGCGAAATCCTGCACCAGTTGATAGGTGGTAAACATCCCATTATTTATAGGGTTTCAACCAACAGGATCGCAGCTGAGTGCGGAGGAGTTGGATCAGGTGCGGCACATTGGGCCGAAAGGTTGGTGTGGAGCTGGTGGCTAAGAGAAATGGGGGTTTGAATGGGGATAGCCATTAAGAATGGTGGTTTTAAATGACTATATGCGGAATTGATGATGCTGATGATGATGATGATGATGATGATGATGATCGATGATCGATGATCAATGATCAATGGTCATTGATGATCATTGGTATCAACCCTGCATTAATAACCCCCTGGGTTTTTGATCATCGGGAGTGAGTAGTATTTTTGTAATAGATGACATCACTAGTCTTGGGGGGTACTTCCTTTCTAAAAATCGGGGGATGATGAAACATGAGTATCTATCTTTGTATTTTATCATGATGATCATCATTTTGATGAATCACTATGGCAATGAAATTAAGATAGTAGTCATCATTGTCAGTGAAAACTGCGAACCCTAGGGCGAGTTCACGAGAGACCCAGAACAGAACAATTTGTTGGGGTGGATGCCATCGTGCCTAGCCTGAGGTTCTTGTGTTGAAAAAATTGGTTTGGAGGGATTTCTGGGTTTTTGGCATACCTACGGTTTTGCAGTGACCCAGCAACTGCCTTTTTTTAGAGGTTCACCAAACCCTGCAGTATTTTTCAAATTATGCATTCCCTGAGATGTGAATCAAATTGGAGATCCATGTCCAGTACTTTAGATCATTTTGCGATTCATATGGGGGCTGCTTCTTTGATCTGAGGTTGCCTTGAAGGCACCCAAGGTCTTGGAGGAGCTCACCCAGAGCTATGCCTTGCAGGTCTGGTGTGGATCATGGTACACCAATGAGGTGGTCAAAGCACGGGCTATATAACTCGGTACCCCAAACTGCAAGATCTCGATGGTTGAATGGTTCCTTCATGTTCCTTCCCTTGACAGGGTGCCCACAGAAGTTGGATCTTGGCCCTCAAAGAAGCCAGGGCCCTCAGTGTCGGACATTTGCCCCGTGACAAACGCAGCGTTGGAACAAGCAGAGCGTACAGAACAAATTGGGTTTTCCTCAAAGACCCCTAAATCATCTTGGCCAGGTCCAATGAGGAAACCAATTCGGGTACTGACAGTCTGATGTTGCAAAGTATTGGTTGCTTCTCCACCCGACACTATGAACCGTCTACCTTTCAAAAGACATCACAGGTTTTGTGACTAAGCAAAGTTGCTGAATTTCACGTGACTCAACTTTCCTATTTGAATGCACAACGCGGGGCAAAGCGCCCAGGGGAACCGAAGAGTGGGAGAAGCAGCTCGGGCCTTGTCAAACCATGGTAGGATGATCAAAATTTCGGACAGTCCGTGCCACTTGAAAAAATTAGAATACCATGACTCACAGTCCCGTGGGGATTTGAATCTGAATCCAACCAGCACAGGAATAGTCAGATCCATCGGATCGGTTCAACTATGGAAACGTTGACCAATGGTGTTTTTTTTTTTTTCGCAAATCAAAGGCAATCATGACTGTTACCCTGTTACCCTCCAGTTGAGCATTTAAGATAAGAAATCAAAGGAACGAACGATAGTCTCCCAGATGGAGATTAGTTGATAGCTTTGACGCGAACTGGGAGTCAAATCTTAGTCACCCAAAAATGTTGAAGTGATGTTCTAAAATGTTATAAATACATTGATTTAGTTGTATGCACATTATTTGCATGTTTGCATGATGTGTATTATACATATACTTACTGTAGAGTTTCACACCCATGCATCTATTATATACATGTATGACATTTATTTTTAGCTATGTTTAAGTATATGTCATGTTCATGTCATGTTTATGTATGTGTATATGAATACTAACGTACACATATACGTATCTGTATGAATATGTTTCTTGTATGTGTATGTGTATATGATTATGCGTACGTATCTGTTATGTGCATGTACACATATGCACAAACACACAGTTAGACCAGAACAAGATCCTTCGAGAGGTATACAGTATATATGTATATACATGTACACATGGTTTTGTTGGTAATTTGAAATCATAGTGGATAAACTACAGGCACTGATTGCAACACGAACTCCTAAGTCACCTTGAGATGAAAGAACACTTTGCTTTGGCAGACCCTTTCAGGCCACAGAAACTTGATTTTCGTTTGTTCAAACCCAGAGTGATACTGTACTGTTTTGCATGTTTTTTGTCTTGTGTTTTTGTCCTTGTTGTTTGAAACTAAGTTTCTTTATCTTTCCAAGACCTGGGTAGCAAGCAAAACCCTTCAAGACATCATGTGTCATTTGCAGAACTCCACACGCATGCGTATGTAATGCGTGGTATCAAAACTATTTGCACGCATATCCGCTAATTCTGCCCATATGGGCCAGAGTATCTCTGGTGTACAGATTCCCGGTCAATTTCAAGAACCGTCGTCCTTAGGCTGTGGAGAATTTCCAAATAGCTTTCAACAACGTGGACGTGCTTCGGTTCGGGGACCTGCAGCGGGGGTATGTGGTCATCAACAAAAACACTGGTATAAGACCAACCACAATGGGCATGTTAGGGGAACCAGCAACAAGATGACAAATTTGGGTTTGTCCATTTGGAGTTTTTTCTTTCGAACATGATTTCCGGATCCAGGGCATGGAACGGGATACCCTACGGTGTTTTTTGACATACCCAAATGGCATGTTTTGGTTGGGGAAAAGGTATCGAAGGGTTGATTGCAGAGTATTTTGGTTTGAATCGCGCTTTTCATGGGGTTTTGTAGCTTTGCGAATCCTCAAACGCAGTTGATATCAAACTTCAAGAGTAGTTGGTCAATTTGGATGCCCACCATTTTCAGAGGAGTGCCACATTCCAGGTTTGCAAAGCGAAACATGATGGGGAAATTGAAATCTAATGTGCTTGGCCACCACAGCTTTTCTGCAAATTGCTGCACCAGCGTCACTAGCGTGGCCAGAAACAGAGCTGAGGGCCTTGTCGAAATTTGCCAAGCATATCGCCGATGCCATGGTAAGTTTCATCAGGAGGCACTGTCGTCTGCGGGCTTGGGGAATTTGGAGGTTTTTCAGGATGCCCTTCGTGTGTCCCTGAAAACAATGCACAATATGCACAATTAACTATAGATAATCACCAGCTTTAACTATAGTATCTATAGTATCAATATTCATTCAATCCACTTGACTCAATGCCAACGATCCCTAGATGACATTCAATTTTTACCGGATAGATCCAGTAGACATACGCAAACTTTGGGGGTAGCCCTCGCACCCTTTGGCGATTTATCGGTTCAGGCATGGTCCTCACCCAAAGGCTAAGCAGTGTGCAAGGGGAGCCCAGGAGCACCAACCGCTGGATGGCATCCTTGCTGACTTTCGGAACAGCCACAAGGTATGAAAACAGAGTCTTTTTTGAGGTAATTCTTTTTACATTTGTATAATATATATATATATAATATACATATGTATATATATAATATACATTATTGTAATTATATATATACACATTATTGTAATTATATATATACATTACTGTAATTACGTATATATATATACACTATAATTAATTAATTATATATATATATACATACTATGACAATAATAATTATAGTAATTATACAAATAGTAATGCTAATGATAATAATAATAGTATATACAACAATGATAATATATATATATATATTATAACTATAACAATAACAAACAAATATTACGCCTATAATTATATATATACATTATATTTATACATACAATATAATTATATATAATAATTATGTGTATACATATTATAATTATATTATATTATACAATTACGCATATAATATAAATTATAATATATATATATTATAATTATATATATTATTGTTATATAATATATCTATTATATAATAATATATATATACACATGTACGTATGTAATATTTGGACATCCATTTCCTGGCTAGTCTAGGAGTTCATCACTGTATCCAGGGCCATCTGGACCCACATCCACATAATCCTACGTAGACACAACTCCAATTCATGTAGAGGCCCACCGCACCTAGCTGCTGATGGTTCTAAGTTCTGAGGTGGGGAAAATTTTGCTGGCGAAGGTGCGAAGAATGCTGCCTGAAGGCCATGAATTGGGCGGGTGCTGCTGTGCTGATGGGTTCAGTGATGGGACCGCATCACCTGTTTGGGTGGAAAGCGGATTAGTATTCAAGTTGTTTAGGCACACACAATTATTATATACTGTATAAATAGATATATATATATTTTTCAGGCTGAACACCAGATCCGTATCCCCACTGTAAATTAATGTAAATTATATAGTTGGTCAAATCTCCATTCCACCCCAACTCATTGGAATTCCCAGTTGATGTGGATGAAACCTCCAGCTTCCTGCCATCGAAGGTCACGATGATCAGGAGCTTTCTGAGGTGCCGCCAAATGAACCAAAGATGATTGGGGACCACCAGCTGTACAGGACATCAGAATATGGGGTTGTCTGAAAATAGTGTACCCCTAGACCCAATGGTTTTGCTGATCATTATCCCTACTAAATGGCTATAATTGGGGGTATACCCCATTTTCAGACATACCCATATATCAGAATATATCAGAATACATGAATAGAAACTTCAGATTTAAGTTTGCTCTGGTTGAACATGGACCAGGTTCAAGTGCCAAATGTATCCAAATGTCGTAAATTGGACTAGGCATGGACAGTTCATGTGTACTCGCCCAGTGAAAAACGCCACCCTGATCATCCCCACTGGCTCTACTTTATTTGGGTGAAAATCCAGCCCCCGCAGGTGGTCGATGACAAAAGTTAAAGATATCATGGGATCCAAATTTTCCGATCATGCCCGGATTTTTTTTGCGAGTCTGACGGTATAATTTACATGACCCTCCGGTAATATCACATGGCAATGGCAAATCCACTATAATCAATGGGAATTTCAGGATCCTGAAATGGAGGTACTGTACCATATAAGGCCATATTTTCTGGGGATATTCCCTTGCATAGGCCTTACATAGGCCTTACATATGGTAGGTACCTCCAATCTAGGATCCTGAAATGGCCATTGATAAATGGGGAATTTTCCCGCCAACCGCGCGAGGCCGTGACTGAGAGGATGAGGGAGGATTATGCCGATGTGTTCGGCACCGCTGAAAGAAATTCATCGCTGCGGGATTTTTTGGAACATTAAGGAACATCCACCAATAGGATTTCCCATGTTGGTCTGAACATCCCACATTATATAGATAGTATAGCCCCTCAGAATATTCAACCGAAAGGGGTTTTAAGCATTGCTCAATTGATGATTTCTCCAGAAACCCTAAACCCTAAACCCTAAACCCCAAGGGGGTTGGTCATGTTTTGCCTGAAACATAAGATACCAAAAACATCCGAAAGTAGTATTTGCAATCTATACAGTCTATACATATCTACATATACCCTCCAAAACTAGATGCCATATATGTTTTTTTTCCGATCTTTGGCTATATTGATATGCTAAACCATGTCCAAAAACGCCACTGTTTTGGGATTTTAGGTCCTCCCACATCGAGCGTCAGGAACGATCCCTCATGGAAATGCTGGAGTCGGGGGAGTTGGATTTGGAGGACTTGGAGGCGAGACGAAATCATGTGACCAGATCCAGATCCCAGGGATGTCAGTCCCACATTTTTCTGGGGATGAAGCATTAACCATACATTAACCATATCAACCAGCGAAAAAAATTGGTCATTGTGCATGATTGTGCCGACAATTTGTGGCGATGGACCAGGAGGAGGAAGCAGTTGACGATGATGACATGGTGCCTGGGCAGCAATAAGGGATACTCAATGCCCGTATGGATGCGCACTGCTCATGATTGATGGATTTCAATTGCAAACAACAATTGTGGTTTCAAAGAAAAAAGTGAAGCCGCATCCCCATTTTGACCCGCTGAATGCCGAAGATGATCCCATGCGAAGAAACCACACGATGTTTTTATTCTAAAGAAAACACATCGACACATGTTGAAAAAAACAGGTGAAACTCGATCATTTTTCGCAAAAAGAAACGCCAGCGCTCCTTGCGCTCCGTTGGGGGAAGATTCCTGTCCTGTCTGAGGACGATGAGGAGCAGGCCGCATCATCTTCAGCATGGGCGAATGGACAGGGACCGGACGGCAGCTTGGTGAGAATGGGAACATCATCTACACCTGTTGGATTTTCCTTGGTTATGTGAATTTACTGCAGGGTAGCCTGTTTTGGTACTAAACACAATTTTTTGGGAATGGCCAAGTCCACTGTTTTTTTTTGTTCGGTGTGGTGATGCACATCTGATATTCTTGGATTCAACAGGGATGGACAGACAGACAGCATGGACAAACCCAGTAGATGGTCCATCACCAGAAGATGGTCCGGCATCCGCCGTTCTAGGCACCTCACCTTGCTAGAGTCAACATTAATGAATTGATGAATCATCCAATCCAGGTTGTTGGCAACTTTAATCAACTTTTAATGATGGGAATTCTCCACTGCTACCAGCTCCAGCTCTGGAGTGTTGGATAACTCGGATCGCCCGGATCGAAAAAACCAAGGCATGGGCTGCACGGCAGTGGTGGCACTGGTACGGGGCGGTGGCAAGCCGGAGGTTCAACCCACCCCGGGCTGATGGGAGCGAAGGGAACGAGGGAAGTGACAGATTTCGACGACATAGAAAGATATAGAAAGATGGTAGGCTGAAAAAAAGAGGAGTTCCACTCTTCTGACTCTTCTGAAATCAAATCTACATCTTGGTTCATTTTTTTTCGACAGGTTCCGGGCCAAAGTTTGGGGCGACCGGTCGCCTTTCATGGAATTTCTAGGGCCATTTCTAGGGCCAATGGATTTGCAGATGGCTCACGAGGCGCTGAAAGTTGGCGTCGAAACTCTAGCAAAACAGGGCCCTGAGATTTCATGTTGAAAACCTCTCCAAAGTTTCCCTGAAAACTCAATGAATCATGGGTCAAACATGGATCAAACATGGATCAAACATGATCAAACTACCAGTGCTGGGAGCAGCCATCTGGCCATGGCAATCCATGGCAGCAATAAACCGAGAGTGTCTCCCTCTCGCTTGGCGGGACAGCCTGGGTGTTTTCGGCCACTGAATCATGAAAATCCTGGAGCTTGGTACTACTTGTAGCAGTCAGAGGTTCCCAAGGGCCCCAAGGGCCCCCAAGATTCGGCTAATTCGACTGTTGCGAATGGCTTCCAACTCACCCCTGCGAAGTGTACTGAGAAAGCCGATGGTTTGTTGCCTGCCCGGTTTGTGCCTTGTCCAGCTGCTCGAATTCAAGCGTGTAGATACCTAGCCTATTCTTCACAAGGTTGCACACAGGCGCAGATGAAAAGATGTGTAACTCTAAAGCAGAAGACAAGGACAGAACGGATGACAGTTAAATCTTAAAAGTTGAGTATTGAAAGTTGAGCCTCCACTTCTACTGACTGAGACAGTCACTGACACTCCAGTTCATGGTGATCACACTGCGCTGACGGTGAGATGGCACCCAAGAAGAAGGCTTTGAGAAGGGTATGACCTGTGGAGAAATGGAAAGCCTTGTTTTTCTCCACAAGATGACTTGTTTGTGGGTCAAAAAATCAATTGGGCATTTCCTGAAATGGGGGTACCCATGGGTACCCTAAATCGTCCATTTTAATGGGATTTTCCATTAAACCAACCATTTTGGGGTACCCCCCCATTTCAGGAAACCTCCAATTCTGCTAGTAACCCCCTTTTATTTTGGTTCCGACAACTTGACCATTGATCCATTCCCACAAAACACATCCGCAGGGTCATCCCGCCCGCAGAAGTCATATTAATGTATAATATATAAGTAGATCTGCAAACAAATCAAACACATATATGAATATAATATGTAAATATAAATCAGGAAATAACACAGACGTGTCTCTTTCTACATTTGTTTATATATATATAATCATCTTGAAATAGATAATCCATCTGGTTATTTAACAGTTCGCCATGGAACATCACCATTTTCAATAGGTAAACCATCGATTTTCATAGGCCATTTTCCACCGTTGCAGGATGCAGGAGCCGACGTCCTCCAGGACGGCCCAGCGGAGGAGGAGGAGCCCGGCAGCGGCAAGGCGCGGCCGCGCCGCGGCTTTCGGCCACCGGGGCATTTGGTCGAAATTGGGGTGGGAGTTGGGGGAAAACCTCTGGAAAAGCTCGGGGTCGAAATTGGGGTGGGAGTTGGGGGAAAACCTCTGGAAAACCTCGGGGTCGAAATTGGGGTGGGAGTTGGGGGAAAACCTCTGGAAAACCTCGGGAAAATCGGGAAAAAACTATGAACATCATATGGAAACAAATTGGAAACAACATGGAACACCTGATAAGTCAGAGTCATGTGGAAACCATGCATGAAAAATTAGATGGAAGAAAAACAAAAACAATAGAACACCCTGGAACAACATTGAAACAGCTTGGCATCTTTAGGATTCAACCATCCATTTCTTGAGTGTATACCGTGGCCCCCCACTAACATGACGACCCTGTCAGTTGTGGAGGTTGGAAAGCTACTTTCCGAAATTGGGTTGGCTATTGTCAGGGTTTGTGTACGTTGGGGGATGGCATACATATATGCATATGCATCAATATACGTATGGATACATAGCGCAAACCACAGTTAACATCGGGATTCAACTGGCATTCAGGATTTCACACAACAGGGGGGGAGTATTACTTACCAACAGAACTACCGAAATGGGTCTTGGAATTTGTGAAGAAACTCATTGCCCAAATCCTGAGACTTGGCGAAGGGGTGATGAATGTCACTGGTGTTGGCATTCGCAACATGTTTAGAATGTGTAGACTGGGGATTACCTGGAGTTAGATTCCCACGCAAGAGTGGAACGTGAGCAGAAACTGGATTGCACAGAATCCGTCAGAAAGATTCTTCCCCGCGCCATAGCCACATTTTCATCATTTTTGATCCCCGGTTTTTCCCAGTTGTCCAGTCGGGCAGGTTGTCTTCAGTTTCAGTGCTCAAGGAGTCAAGGACCTTCCTGGGGAGTCGGAGAGCCAAGGGGAGCGAGACGACTCGTGGTGACTTAACAAGGTGTCCTCCTTGTTTTGCAGATCGAGCAGATCGAATTTGTCTGAAAATGAGGGATAAAGCCTCAACTATGGCTATTTCAAAGGGAATGATGATAAATGATGAATCAGCAGACTGGGGCATCCGATTTTCAGACAACCGCAGATGGTGCTTGTAGATCCATGGCCCTGAAATCGCCCAAAAACTGAAGTCGGAATACTTTTGACACTTCATACCATCAGTGACCATCAGACAAGGCTTTTCATGACAAATGAGCAGGGAACTTGGCCGTTGGCTTTCTGAGCTTCCCCGGAAGAGTTGACTCCGAAGTTGACTCCGACTTCCTGGGCTGGGACCGCTGGGACAGTTCTTTCGGCTCAAACACGGTGAAAAGCAAAAGACAACCTTCGAACAAGCAGGTAGCACGCAGAATTCGACGACTGCTCGGAAGAAACGCCCCCCCACAGCCATGGATCCTGCAAAAGTCCAGGAACTCCGCAAAAATGAACCTAACAGGTTGCCGGTGGTTGTGTATTCCTTTCCTGGGGGCAAGAAAAGTCGAAAGAAACTTATGGTAAGCCACGATATGACAGCTGGCGACTTTGTGAAGTTTGTTCGCCAGCAATGCCCATGGGCTGCTGATGGCAATGTCTGGATCAAGAAAAGCGGTGGCCGCTTGAAGGTGCCAGAGCACCTTCTGGTGAAAGACTTGGATAGTCTCAAGTACAAGGCGGCAGACGATGTCTTGTATGTGGAAGTCCTGGAAGTCCTGGAAGTTGAAGTTCAAAGAAACACCACGGCATCTGAGCCCCAAGAGGAGATCGACATGTCGATGTCGAAGATGTCGACGTCGGTCCAGGAGTTCAAGATGAACGCAGCAGATCTTGGAGCCACTCAGCAGGTGATGAAGGTGACGCGCGGGTCTCGCCGAGTGCTAGAGCAAGCGCTAGAGATGTGCGTGAAACATCCTAATCATGTGCCAGTCTTGGTGAATCAACCTGAATCCCCCGGACTTCCACGGATTCGGCAGAACTACACGGTTCCCAGGGATATGAAGGTTCGGAACCTTCGAAAGGTCTTGCTCCAGGATAAAAAGCTCCAAGGCCCTGACACTCCATGGGACAAAGTGAAGATGCTGATGGCCGGCAACGAAGTTCAGGAGGACCAGTGCATGGGGGACATCTATGATTCTATGGTGGACCCTGACGATGGAGGCCTTCAGTTGCACCTCGAGTTGGATGAGTCCTTTGAGTCCTTTGAACCCTCTGCTTTTCTTTTAAAACCTCCTGAACCTTTCGAGACTTTAGAGGACCAACCTTGCCAGCCTGCCGAATCTGCCGAGTCCAAGGCGACGGCCTTCAAGGGACCATCTTTCGAAGAAGTGAAGCACTTGCAGATGGCCTTGGCCGAAGCTGCGGAGGCTGAAAAGCTGCGGGAGCGGCTCCGTCAACAGGCGGAGATCCAGATTGAAGAGCTGCAACAGGAGAATGAGATCTGCCAATCGGAGCTGCGGCAGGAAATGGAAGCTCGGCTGACTTTGGAATCCCAAGTCCAAGTCCTTCAAGTGGAGCTGCAGAGCCAGGTGAAGACTCTGAGTGCCGCGCAGTTCGCTTTGAGCCAGTCCCTTGAAGAGACCTCAGCTGCGCAGCAGAAGAACCTGCTGCTGGAGGAGAGGATCTTGGCCTTGGAGGCTCAGCTCCAGGCTGTGGAGAAGGCGGAGCTGGCAGAACTGGCAGAACTGCCAGATGAAGCGCCGGAGGAGGACCAAGATGACCAAGGAGATATGGCAGCTATGGTGATGGTGGGTTGGGATCCAGAAACTGGCAGACCTGTGATCTCCGAGGAGTGCAGCCAGATCCAAGTTCTAGCGCCTTAGTATTCCTTCAGTGCGAGGGTGAAAGATGCCGTCCCTTGGCCGAGTTGAATGTTTAATGAGAATATCAAGATGGCCACAGTTTCAAGCTGAAGTAGCACAGTTTCAAGCTGAAGTTGTGGCAGTAGCGGGGAGCCCGGAGAAAGAGTCTCGCCTGGCATTGTATAGAAACTGCACCGGGTCACGCCTTGCCGAAACAAAACAGGCAGTCGGCTTTTTGCTGGCCAGGCACTACAACTTCTTTGAGAAATTTATATATTTTCCAAAGTTGTCAGGAGGTTTCTACTATGGTTGATTTTCACCATTTGGAAGTCTCGAAGTATCTTTGGAGCGGACCGATGTGACCGAGCAGTTGTGCTCGCCGTGGACTCAGGCTCCAGACGTTGGTGGGGTTCTCCGGCTTCTGCAAGGAATTCCGGCCAGGGGACCTCAGAAGGATGGAAAAGGATGAACACTTCCACTAAAATCACTACTGGTTGGTGGTTTGGAACATTTTTCATATTCCCCAATCTGACTTTCATATTTTTCAGGGGGGTTGAAACCACCAACCGGACGAAAACATCTGCGATGACGTAGCAGAATTTGGGTGGATTTGATGCCGTTCCCAATGAGGTGTCCGGTTGCCGGTTGAACATATTGTTCATGGATATTGATGGCTCAAGTCTCGGGATATACTTGCATCATCCAAGAGCATCCGTTCGTTTAACCGTTAGCAGTAGCAACGCTTGAAATGAAATAATAGAAAAGTAACATCCAATCCCCAGATAGTGAATAGTGGTAAAAGTTCACTTTTTTCTACTTTTTCTGCAGCTTGTTGTGTGTTACTACAAGTGGTTTCTGTGGCCCTGATCGATTTTGTTTATTTCGGAGATGGCACGGCCGAGGACCAATGCGTCTCCAGAGCCTTCCGGTTGGGAGTTCACCAAAGAGACTGTGATCCGGTTGCAGAACCAGGACGCTTTTGGGCTGGTGTGCCCCCAGCCCATCTCTATGCCATGGCCAATGGGCCAATGGGATGATCTTGGGGCACCAAGTTCCCAATGGAGGTCCAAAGGAAATCACTCGACCAAACTTAGGATCCGTTAGATCCATGTTTTTGGTTGATTCTTGGCCAACAGAGCTGGAAACCCGAGAGTTTGTGCCTAACTTGTGATGACAACCCCACTTCACTAGATCATAATTCTCCATTGCCAACATCAGATTTTGAGCTTCGAAGAATATCAGAACTCAATGGTGACAAAACACGAGGTGCTAAAACCATGCATTTTTCATAGGTTCCCATGTTTGAGACAACCAATGGACCAGGATCTCTACAACGACATGGTGGAGCGGCCCTTGGTGGTCTCTTTGCGGGACGCGGCGGCGGACAATGCACCCATCGGCACAGGGGAGATCAGTTTGGTGCCCCTGCTGCACGACGCCACCGAGGTGCAAACAAGTCCTGCAGCACATGTGTTTTGGGCTTTTTCAGTCAGGACATCACTTTGGGAAGGGCAATTACTCTAAAACCCAAATGACATCACACGTGCCAACTTTGACCATTTCAGCAGCTTTTACATGTTTTTTTTGAGGGTTACATCTTCTGCAACCTTTGGCTGACAGGTGTCCTTAGACTTAGAGCTCAAGCTGGCACCCGACTACTACGCCAAGTGGTGGAAAGATGTCGGATAACCCAGTGAAGGTGAACCACTTGGGCACTGAAAAAGCATCCCAAGGTCCCATGGTTGAGAACATCATTCAAACACATTCAAACATATTCAAACACTAGAGTATCAAAATAATTTGAACCACTATAGTATAGATACAGTATATATAGATACATACTGCATACTATATATTATATACATTATATGTTATATTATATATTCACTTATATGTATATATACATTATATTACATAAAATATCATATATCATATCACATATTATATCATATATCATATATATATATATATGTATCATATCATATATGTTATGTTATGTTACATTATGTTATGTTTTTGAGCCGACCTCTCGGCCTGAGGATGAAGCGGATGATCCCAAGAAGAAGGTGCCCAAGAAGACTCGCAGCTGTTGGAGACGGGAAAAAATGATGGTGGGTTTTAACATGGTTTTACCACAAGGACTTTGGAACTATGATGGTGGTAAAATGAACTTTTTTAACATGGAAAAATGATGGTGGGAGCCATGAAAAATCGTGGATTTACCACAAGACCTTTGGAGTCAACTACTAGGAAATGCGTGGGACTTCCAACAGTTTTGGGTTTGTCCATTTGTCCCGGGGTATACCCTATACCCCTAAAATGCTACGACAATGGCACAATTCAGAATGAATCATGGGATGTTTGAGTACCCCGATGTAGTGACGAATTGAATGTTTTGGGGGAATCTCTACAGGTAAAAAAGCTGTGTGGAAGAGTAATTACAGTATTGAAACTCACAAACTTGCATGTTTCAAACAGCAAGGATGACCAAACTTGGATGGTACCCCGGCTCCTCCGTCTTGATCTGAAACCGGTGGTAAGATGGAGAGGTTTTGAATTGCTTCCCACCTCGAAGTAGCGAAGTAGACTAGGAGATGATGGTTTTGGGGGTGGATTTTGGGGCTATGTTTGGCGTTGTTTCGAAGCATTCTTCCATGAAGATCAGAGCTTCAGAGCCAGGACAAGAACAAGGCGCCAGCAGAACCTGCCAAGGACTGTCTAAACAAAACCCAGGCACTCTTCTGAAGAGGAAATGAGGCTCATAGCTTGAAGTGCGTTTTCACAATTATATAGGTCTCCATTGTGACCGTTGTTGTTGATTGCATCCCAACTTCCGTTGCCCACATCAACATTTTTGTTATCATCCAATCACGACTCAGCTCCATTTTTCTCGCATTTTGTAATGTCTTGTTGCTCACCCGAACCAGACCGGCAGATCTTCACCGAAGCTTTGTTTCAGGAGCGCGAGCCCTTGTTTGAAGGGGATGCGCCACCACCCACGATCCTGACGGTGCGAAACACGGGGATTTCAGTGATTTCAGCAGCAAAATATGGGACATTGGGACATGACCCTCTGAAATGTGATGGTTGATTCTAAGTCGACCAGTTGACCGAGAGCAGTGCCTGGTTATCCGGGATCTGGGGGATGGTTACCCTCCATAAATCTGGATCAAATGGGGACATGGTTTGGGTTAACATGGGTACAGAGGGGGTATATACCTAATAAGCAATCAAAGATCCCAGGAAATCTCCGAACTAAATGGAGGTTCATAACTAGGAGATCATCGACAAACACGAGGCATTTTCTAGCAAACTAATGTTTGATATAGCATCATCCGCTACAGGGAATCCTTATCAACAAACCAGTATATGGAAGGGGATGATACAAGGTCAGCATGAAATGCGGCGAAAGAAACGACGTAGGTTCAGATAGACCATTGGATTCTTGGGCAAAGCTTACTTTTGGACGAACCCATTTGTATCACAAGTTGGAAAGGGATTCATAGAGAAGTAATATGATAAGTATGGATAAGTCATGATAAGTCATTTAGGGATGGGGTTTACCTGGGTTCAGAGGAACATAAAATTCGTTGGGGGTTGGAAGACGACTTTCCAAGATTGTAAGTGTGGATGCCCAAGGTCCATGACAGTTGTGAGGAATCGTAACTCCATCACAATATACGTATGTTGAAATCAGAAAAAAAGCATTTCCTTACATGAACCAGATGATTCTATGATATAGAATTGATATAGTATATATATAGTCCCTTATACAATCTTATACATATCAACCAGATAGTTATGTGTGTGTGTATATATATATATACATATATATATATAGATAAAGTTACCATATATATATATATATCTACACAAATTCTCCTTGCAACCAGAGAATTCTATCAGGTCTCTGTGAAGGTGGAAGATTTGGTGGGGCCTATGGAGGCGCCATGGCGGCGCGGGAGAGATGGAAAAACCCATTGGATTTCTTCGGGAAAATGATGAAACATATGGAAACAACATGGAAAAATCATGGGAATTGCCAGGTTAAAAGGATGAACATGATGGAACATGATGGAACATGATGGAAAAATGATGGAAAAATGATGGAACAATGATGGAACATGATGAATATGATCGACATTTCTGGTAGGGAAACTTGACATTCAAGGTGAAATCTGCATGAGACCAGGTGGACTTGAATGCACTAACAAGGTGGCAATGTCTTTCAGCAACTGCAGGGCATTTAAACACTAAAACAGGACATGTAGCTGAGAATGCTCCCTGCATTGTGTAGATGGGGTTGTGATTGCTACTTAAATTCTTCTTAAGCAGACCAGGTTCTATCCCCAAACCCTGGATCTCCAGTTACCATCCGTGGATCGCAAGCTGACAGGATCGCGAGTGTTGGACCATCCTGACCTTGGGAATGGAAGGCCTGGGCAGAATCCGGGGTACCATGGGGTGCCTTTTTTTGGTCGGTCACCGATGTCACTGGGGACGGCAGTGACGGCATCCCATCCATTTGTGGCCTCCGTCGAGGTGTTTTCGCCTTGCCCGAAGCACTGACCTCACTGGGTGTGACCAGCAGGAAGCTCGGGGAAAGCCGATGTGTGAGGTCTCCACTTTTTGAAGCTCTGATTGAATGTTGAGGGATGCTAATGGAAAGCGTTTGTTGATGTTTTGTGAACTTTGATTGTGAACCTTGAGAGGATCGAGAGGATGGTGATGATGATGATGATGATGATGATACGGATGAGGATGAGGCGGAGGCGGAGGCGGAGGAGGACGACGAGGAGGACGACGACGATGATGATGGTTGATGGTTGATGGTTGATGGTTGATGGTTGATGGTTGATGGTTGATTCACGCTGATGGTTGTTGGCATATACCCATATTTGTGAAGTAGTAGAGTCTATATGATCTATATGCCTTTGACCCAAAGCATTCGCTGTTTTCTCAGGTCCGGATGACTTTCAGGCTCGCGGAATTTTCAGAAACCATCACGGTGCCAACTCTTGCTTCACACGACTAGCTAGCCCCAAAATCATACGCAGAACGTGTGAAGCTGAGTCGCAGTTACAGATGATTTATAAGCCATCTTAAGCCTCAAAATTCAGTGAGTTTAGGCCATTTTGAAGCTATTTTTTTCAAGCATTTGAACTCTACTCTGAGCTTCCAGCGTTGAATTTTTCTACTTTCAGCAAGTCCAGTGATGCTGATCACCCTGTAACCTGCAGCCAGGCTCACCCCATCAGCTACAAAACCATGCTTCTGGGAGAGCTGCTTGGGTAATCGAACATGGCTGGGAAATCTCCAAACTAAATGGGTGTTGAATGGGACAACATTGACAACATCATTAGAATCCATTGAAATCATCTTGAAATTGGCACTTGAACTATCTTGAACTATACTTCACTGGGTTAACCCCAAGTCTCACCCTCTTTTTTGGGTCCAATTTGTCAACGTAGCAAACCGCACGCGAACTTGGACCATTGGATTGTCTAAGACTGGCCCGGGCAACTGTTCCTGGGCGATGGCCACAAGGCCCTTTGGAGAAGGCTTGCTGACCAAAGCTGCTGAGGCACGATGTGATTGGAACATATCGATGTTTTTTTGAGATATCTAGATTATATAGACATGGAGGTTTCCTAAAATGGGGGGTACTCCCAGTCATCATCCATTTTAGATTGGGATGTAGCATGACATAAACCATCCATTTTAGGGTACCATTTTAGGAGGCCTCCACTTGTTGGTGGAATCCCGGTTGGTGAAGTGGTGATCCAACCATCGTTGGGATGCCGAGCGGGTTACTGTTGGCCCGTATCGATGATCATTTATCCATGAACATTGCTATGATTTATTGAGATAACCCCAAGATAACCCAAGAGATCACCAACTAACCCCATAAACCCAACTAATCCCCAAGATAACCCAAGCTTGAATTACTTTCAATGAATTTTGGGGATTCGTTGGCGAAAAACCATGGGGATATGGGGATGGATCATCCGGACAGCGCTCCGATGACACTTGGGGTACAGCAGTGAGGAAGGCTACAGGCAGCCAGGCAGTGTAGAATGTGCTGCATCCTATTCTCAAACTGGGGTTTTTGAAATCAACTAGTTCGGCAAGTGTCCTACAGGCCTTTTGATCCATGTAGCTGATATAGTCATAGTCTCAACATTGGGAGCTTCCAAAAAAGAGTTTGCATTACAAGGAGTGGGTTTGTCTCCGGTGAATCGTCATTTCCGCGTTAAAGAGCCAGAAGGTGGGTATACCTCATTTTCGGACACACCCAAATAGACTGAGGGATCTTGGGGCAACAATTTGCAGACACGCATGCTGCTGGCCATCGCACACTCACCCGCAACCATTTGGAAACTTTCGCGAGCGGGATGCCATAAACTGAGAGTTGGTGTTGGCGACCAGAACATCAGGAGAGGTCGTCAGGGAAAAGAGCACCGCATTATTCCTGCTGGTTTATATAAGGACAACATGAAACATCTCTCAACAGCATCTTTTTTATACATATCCTTACCGGATGCGGGGTTGAATCAATGACATTGAAACCCCTTTGTGTTTGAGATTATCATATCCTTTTATCATCCACTTCACGCGATCCGTGTGGTGTTCTCTTAAGCCTGGGCCTCAATGTCTGGAATGGCTTTGACTTCTGGGGTATGGATCCCAATTTTGATCCAGATGCCGCACCCGAAATCCAGATCAAGAGTTGGAATCGCATTTCGAATTAGTGTTGGATAAGTTTGACACTGTGTCATACTTTTTGGCACATCTGTTTTAGGTAATGCTGCAAACATGGTAAGAAATCATATCCACATGGGTTTTCGCAAAGATTTTGAAGCCATGCTGATTCCCGGGGACTGGATGACATCCATCCGCAGTGTTTTCAAGAAGCCTTTTTCTAGGCAGGGTCTCAACTCCCAAGTGGCTGGTCATCTCAAAAAGGATAATTATCCAAATCCATAAAGGTGAAACAACCACCCCAAAGATCCCCAAAGTGTTTTGATTGTTCTATTACATACTGTACAAACCAGATGCCCGAGAGAGCAAACAAAAGCAGCAGCATTGCCCTGAAGCAATGGATTCGGGTGCATCAACCATCTCAATGGGATTCAATTGCCCAAAGAACCTATTGATTGTGGGAGAAACCATGCCCAAATAACCTATGGATTGACGACCATCCCAATCTCCAGTGATTTCTGAGGATGGGATGCGCCGCCAGTCTACCCGCAACGCCGGCTGCTCCGATGGATCGGCTGCCTGGAGGGGTAGGCTCCGATGGGTGGAGGCTTAGTCAGCTTAGTCCCTGGATGTTTTTCCCTGCTGACCCTTGGTGGGCTTGAAAACAATGCTATCGGATAAGGTCATGATCCCAAAAGACTGCAGAGTTTCGGTGACCAAAACTGCCCAGTTTCCGCGAAAACCAACTGTGGTCTTGGTGGAATCGGTCAGAGTGAGCCGTATTCAATACGTGGTGTTTCCCACAGTTGGGGGTTCAAAGATTGATGGCTCAAAAATGGGGTGCCAATTGACCCAAAGGTTTGGCAGTGCATAGTGGTAAGACATTTGTTTTCTGAAGGCTAAACATTTTGAACCAGAACCACACTTATCATTTTAATCGGACCCCTTGGGAACGCCCCCAGGATATCCAATGAATGTTGGCAAGATCCCCATGATTTATCCATTAATGTGACATATCCGTAAATATCCGTACATTGCATTGATTATACTCTAGTGATCTCCACAGTCATTGCCCAGCATTTCTTCAGACTGCTCTTATCTAGAGGTAAATACGGAAAACAAACATCCGGATGGTGGCTGAGGACAAGGGTTCATTGGAAGCTGTCAAGTCTGCGAACCCAGTGGGCAATGGGCAAAGGCAACTCTGGCCCAGAAGGATCCACAAAGAGTCAGATGCGCACATATAGGATGAGATGCATTCATGATCATTCATGGATGTCCGAGGGTGCAAGATGATTAATGACCTTTGTTTCAACATCTTTAAAAGGTTCGCTTTGAAACTTCACATCTTGTCGTCTCAGGCAGGGTCTTTTTTCATGCGCCCCTCTCCAGCTCACCAGGTCTGGTGATGTCCAAGAAGGCCAACCGCGGTGAGACATCGGACCCCTCCAATGCCTCCAAATGGTCGATGCACGACCCATCACGACCCCGTTTGATGGTGGCTTATGGAGGAACGTAAAGCCTGCTGTTTGATTGGCGGTAATTTAGTTTGACTGGATTCATCGAAGATTCATCGAACACCCCAAGTTTGAAAGTCCCTAAATTCGGTGAGACGCTGAGAAACAGCAAAAAGAAACACCCTGCCCTTGGATCGGTGGATCTACCGTGGATAGCTATCACCTCCAGCCTTTTCAAACTGAGAGAGGTGCCAGAACTGAGGCCCCAGCAGTGAAAACAGTGAAAACATGTTATAAGTTATAACTTACAAGGTTTTCAAGGCTCGAGAAACTGATGTATACTGTAACATTTTCATTGAATTTGAATGGTCAAAACCTGGGCTTCAGGTGAATTTTCTTTGTAAATCGACAAAATCACCCAGCCGCTGGACCCAGCCCCCCACCATATCCACCTATTCGACCAGGCGCTCTGAGATCAAACGGATCGCAGGCGGGGTCGAAACTGCAGGATGTTCCCTGAAGTTTGCTCAGGTGCTTCCTGAAGCAACGGGGCTTTACCACTTTACCCATTACTTTGAAATCCAACTCCATTGCAGGGTTTCAGCTTGGTGGCATATAGTATGTATATTGGCAAATCAGTTGGCCACATATTAGCTCCCTTTATTTCCGGTAACTTAATCCAGCTATGGAAAATGGTCCATTTATAATCATTTATAGATGATCTACTTATTAAAGGCAGTGATTTTCCATGGCTCTGTGGCTATGTTAGTTTAATGGAGGGTACCATCAGGTAGCCTTTGTTTTGACCCAGGATTTCTCACACCAACCCTCTGAACGATCCACCAAAGCATCGACACGGAGCAGCGGAGCAGCCCGGGAACTCGGCTATGGTCAAGTGGTTGGTTGAAAGGGAAAAGCTGTAGGGGACACTGGATTTGAAGAGGAACATCTGAAAAATATGATCTAATCATGGGCAAGTTTCATGTCAAGTTTTCCAGAATTCGAGCAACAGCTTAGGACCTCAGTGGCCTTGTTTGAGACTGAGTGGCTGGGGGCTGGGGGCCAACAATTGAAAATTATCCTTGTCGGCCGACCCTTGAGGGTATTGAGAGGGGAAAACTAAAGTTATCACCTGCCCGGTCGATAGGGCCCAGAATCCAATATTAATATTAATCTAGGTATACCGAGTGACATAACCATCAACAATTGGGATTCGTGAAATTGGCTACAGTATACAAGGTAACCCCTATTGGGATATTGTTTATTATGAGCCCCTTTTATGTATCGTTACTGGCCAATTTTCGAGGTATCGAAGTTCGAACGACACCCATACACTGCTGTATACTTATCTCTTTCCTTACTGTCTGTGGTACGTTACACTCAGGTCCTGAGCCATGTGCAGAGTCACATGGCCAGGAGCTCAAAGATGTCTCAGTGGCCTAGCCGTGAAGATCCACAGATGCAGATGATGGCAATGATGGTGGCAAATACAAGCATTGTGCTCCATGATGATGATGATGATGATGATGATGATGATGATGATGATGATGCTGATGCTGATGCTGATGCTGCTGCTGCTGCCGATGATGATGATGATGATGATGATGATGATGATGATGATGATGATGATGCTGATGATGATGATGATGATGATGATGATGATGATGCTGATGCTGATGCTGATGCTGATGATGCTGCTGCTGCTGATGATGATGATGCTGATGATGATGATGATGCTGCTGATGATGATGATGATGCTGCTGCTGATGATGATGATGATGCTGATGATGATGATGATGCTGATGATGATGAT